GGTTAAAGGATTAGGAGATGCCCTTTTTGATCCTGCTACTTAGAAGGCATAAAGAATGGGTTTCATCTTAGTTCTGCCTCCTCACTGGTTGTCCAGATGCCTCCACCCCTCTCCACTTGATGTTAGTGCTTTTCTCTGTTGATTCCATCATAACCACCCTCTTCTCTCTACACATGTGTGATATTTCTCCCCTGCTGCTGTTTTCTTTTCACTCTCCCATTATTAGCAGTTATTGGTTCTGAAATTTCTTCTTGCACATGAAACAGTGCTCTCTCTTTTCAGTTTTTTGCTGTGTTACTAGTGATAATAGATCTTTATTTAGATTATTCTCTATTACAGCTTTTCTCTCCCTAAGAATTTGGCATGAATTTCTGAGGGTTGGACCGGAAAGCACTCTTGATGCTTGTCCTACTGCATCCAGAATTGTCCTCTATTTCAGACTTCTATCTCAGTCCGCAGAATAAGGCTGAGTTCACCCATCTTTTCTGGGACAGAACTTTTCTCCACCAGGCTTGTTGCCTATGAAAGGATAAAGAAAGAGTCTGCTCCATAGTGGCTTTAGGGCCTCAGGCCTAGAGGTGGGTTGTGAACATCCCTCAGGCCTCAAACAAGATGCTCCTTGGTTCTCTTAAAGTCACATAGCCTGTCTACAGGCTACCTTGATGTATTTAGACCTGTCTCTCAGTTTTAGTTAATGCTCTAGGCGTCTCATTTTGTTATAGGGCACCCCAAATCTGTTCCAGAACAGGGGGACAGGGACACCCCTGAAGCCCCCAAATCCTGCCTGCTCTAAGTGGGTTCTGCCATCCGCTGCAAGAAGACAAAACATATAAAACTTTAATGAAAAGAGACTTTAATGCAGTGAATATACAATACGGAACACAAAGAATATAACTTCTAAATCAAACACCCAAAGTTACCCATCCCCTCGTGGGCAAAAGTCCACCCAAAAGGCATTGGCCCAAAGCAAGGCCTGAAAGCCTGCCACAAGACTAAAGCACCTTCTGGCCGGGACCCATAGAAAAGGGTCAGAAACGGCCAGACAAATCTGGGAGGAAAAGAGCAAAATCAAAATCAATATAAACACTGCCATAGTCACCTCCCTACAGGTATCTCACCCACATCTGCCTTAACCAGTCCAGGGTCAGGAAACAAGCACATGCTTGCTGCTCCATGTGGTTTCCTCAGGTCTGCTTCTGGCTCCCCATCCTGCTTCCTTCTTTTCTTCTTTTCTGATTCCTTTTCTTTTCTTCTTTTTCTCTGCTCAGCTCCATCCTCCTTCTGGGTGGTGCAGGGAACCTGGAACTTCCCTTTTTCCTAGGGACCACCCTGTTACAATTTCATTGATCTATAAATGAGATTAAAGCTTATTATTTTTGTGTTAACATCATTAAAAAAAACTCACATCACTGAATCTCCATTGAGTTTATTTTTCAAATTCATTTGTGTACCAAACTACAATTTAATCAGGAACTGGTCTAATAGCTTTGTGAAAATGTAATTAATTTCTTCAGAACCTTGTCTGACAGAGTAAATGTGTTTTGCTCTTATTTTATGATCTCTGATCTTTCTGTGTCTTTTATAGTGAAAAGTATGTTACAATTTGGGAAAAGAGAAGATGAACTTTTAATTTTAGTTTTATACAGATGTAGTTCTTAAAAAATATTTTAAGAAACTTTTACTTCAGCTTTTATTTACAATGAGAAAATAAATATATATCGGCTAAAAAAAAAGTTACAGCATATGGTTAAAAACTACTATTAATATGGGCCCTCCCTGGAGGCGCAGCGGGCTATATCACTGCACCACAAAGGGTAAGCCACCTCCACATGAGTTCGATTCCCACCTGCCCCGGAGGTGACCACATGGTGTGGCAGACCTCTCCTGACCCGCTCGCTGCTCCCCTCAGCAGTGTACTTGTCGATCTGCCTGTTCTGCTCCCCACTTTGCCTCTGGTGAAGCCTCTCATCCTCCGTATCTCTGGCCTGTACCCCAGTTCTGTATGACTAAATAAATAAATCTTTAAAAAAAACCTACTATTAATAAAGCAAGTAATTAAAAGGTGAGAAAAGCTGTTAGGTTGCAGACTTGATATGAAAGAAATTTGACAATGTCCATCCATCCATCTACCCACCCATTCATCCATCCATGAAGTTATTCAAGCTTCTGTTGTACTTTACCCAGATTGTACTAAGTATTAAGGATGTGAAAATGATGGTGTCTGTGTGTGAGTCTGAGAGAGGAATATAATCTAGAAGAGGACAGGGATATGTCAAGAGGTGTGACATACTGTTGGTGCCACAAATTACTCCTTCGACCACCTCTGACTTGAGCTGTAGCTATGGTTAACAGGAAACACTCTGACTATTGTTGATTACCAGCATTCTTTGAGTTTCAAAGCTTTTCTGCTTCAGGACTTTCTCTAAAGCTTGTGTGTGTATATGTGTTATTAACAACGTTGGGAAAAATCTCAAAAAATGGGGGCAGCTCTCATGTCCTATGATTCTAAATTTAGTAAAAGCTTATATATTAGTAAGCTCATCAATGGATATATGTTTGATTATACTTACATCAGTGGTCACCACAACACCTGTATTACAGTCACCTGGAGTTCTTGCTGATTTCACCATGGTTAAAATAGTTATTGATTCGTAAGGATGAGTTATGGTACACATAAAAATAATATGTATGTGGTATACTGGGGTAAAAAAACTTTAGATCCTGTCTATAGCAATGAACATATCCTTGAAAATTCTGTCATCAGTATCACTAAGAAAAATATCATGCATAATACATTTTCAAGACAATGCCAAAACTCATGAGCATATGTACGCCTGTATGAACATGTATTGTGTTTGTATGATTATGTGTTAAACTGAGTATAGATATACAATATTGTAATATTGGAAGTACACAAAAAGTTAATATGGGGAAACAAAGAAGAAAGAGTATTTAAGTAAAAACACTAGTATGTATGCTGTGAATTCATTTACGCACTTATGTAAAAGAATGTATATGAAGGGTATATTTTAAAAATGCAGATCCAGGGCCCCTATTTCACTTTAGAACAAAATCCTAAGGACAGGAAATTTGGGTTGACAAATATTCTAAGTGAGTCTATAACAATGAAGTTTTAAGACTTTGCACTAGGTGCTATTTTCATTATTTGTAAACAAATGTGGAGACCTGGTCTGCTGCAAGATGATAGATTTCAGTTCCTACCCTGCATAGTTGGAAATTTCCACCCTGCAATGCAGACTCAGCTGATTCTCATTGACTTGGAACCTAGTAGATGCATAATAAATAGATGCTGATTGAATCATTTGGAGGATGGGGAGAGGGAATGAAGATCAAAGTGGTGAAGAAGCAGATCAGCTGGGTAAATTTAAGCTCAGGAGAGTGAGTAAAGCATGTTAAGAATCATAATCTGGGTCCCATTATCATTTTCAGACATTCAACCAATATTTGTTAGGCATTAAGTACATGCAGGGCACTTTCCTATTTCTCGTTTCATTTCATTCTTAAACAACCCTTTACAGACTTAAGGAAGATAGCATAGCACAGTTTCATTACTGGAATTTGAACCCACACGTTCTGAGTTATTAAGTAACGAATTAGACACCATAGAGCTGCTGAGCATAGAAAGATGAACATGATAGATGGTTTGTTCTTTTTCATATCTAGCATCTTCAGCCTAGTCATGATCGTTTCTGTTGTAACTTACTGGTTGTCACTCCTATTGGACCACCTAGAAGCAGCTTCTTTGTCATAAGTCTCTATCTGGATCACACGGAGAGATTCCAGCTTTTGCTTTCTTTTTTTAAAATCCATCACCTCTATCTAGTTCTTATTTTCACAGTGGAAAGGATAATTTCCAGATGACTGTATAGTGGAAGCCCAAAAGGCCAAGGGTGCTTATTCTAGTTCCTACCAATCCTGAGGCACCTACCATGTGAAAATAATTCTGGCTCTTTGTAATTTCATCTGTTAAGTGCTTTCCCACCCCCCTTCCTTACAGCAGAAAACAAGATGAAAGTGTGGAAAACAAAGCCTTTTAATTAAGTTCAGGAATGAGGCAATCAATAGTACCAATTAATTACACACAGTCTTTGGGGGTGGGGGGAAGAGTATAACCTTATCTTTGGTGGGGGGAATGAACAGTAAAGCCTATCAAGAGGTGTGTATTTTGTTCTCCAAAGCTTGAAAGTAAACAACTAACAAAGAAAAACAGGGCATCTTTTTGTTATTCACATTGAAGGCCTTCATCTGTTCGACTTGATGTGACTCTCCTCCACCCACTAGCTCTGAAGTAGCCATTTTGCAGGTTCCTGAGGCTAGAGAGGGCAGGACCCAGGTGCTGGATCTTATCATTCTCAAACCTCCATGGAGCCTGTCCGGAACCGTAGCCCCGAGCTGGTCTCCAGGATTTGCCAGCAACTTAGGAGTCCCAGAGACCGGAAGACGGGAGGCTGGGATTCCCAGGTGAGGTCAAAGGTGTGCCAAATTCATCAGCGGAAGCCCGGCCCCACCGGACCTCCCCGCCGGCGACAGGTTCGGCGTTCGCCCAGCGCCGGGGCGTGCTTCATAGCCACTCCCACCCCAGGTGCGCAGCCTGCGTCCCGGACCGCGCTCCCAGGGCACCCAGTGGGACTAGTGTGAGTTTTTCAAGCCCACAAAGTAACACCTCGCCCCAAGCCACGCCCAGTCACTCGGGCAACGATTTTAAGTCGACGATTACATAAAGAATCCTAGCCGGGCGCGGAATCTCAGACGGATCTACGAGCGTGGGACGCATCACCGCCGCTTACTGCGGCCGGCTCCCTCCGCCCCTAGTTCCTGCTCAGTCATCACCAAAGCCCGGAGTTTCGGATCCAGACCTGGAAGGACGGAACGACGAACCGGAGCCGCGCCGCCGGCCGGGAGCCCGTCGCACCGGGCATGCTCAGTGGCGCGGCCGGCTGGGTGGCCCCGCGAGCTGCACCCGGATCTGCTCGGCGGCGGCGGCGGCGACGTGAGCGCGCAGGGGGGCGGCGGCGGCCTCGCCTCGTCTCTCTCTCTGCGCCTGGGTCGGGTGGGTGACACCGAGCGCGAGAGAGATGTCGGATTTCGACAGCAACCCGTTTGCGGACCCGGATCTCAACAACCCCTTCAAGGTGAGCGTCGTCCTCATCTTCTCCCACGGCGCGACGCGTCGTTATTGATGAAAACAGACAAGTTCCTTCGCGCTCACCGAATCCGCCGCTGGGCTCTAGACCCGGGCTTGGGGCTGCCTCACCATTTTAGGGGCTCGCGCCCTGGACCCCGCGTCACTCGTTTGGGGGTGGGAGTGGAACCATCTCGGCTACCCGTCCGTCCGTACCAGCACCGGGCTGGGGAGAGTCGTGCTCTCCTTCGGGAGTGGGCCCACAGCTTGGAGGATGCTTGGTCCTCCCCGGAACCGGGGAGAGAGAGAACCCGCGGCAGGTGTCACCTGCCAGACAAGTGTGGCGGGCCGTGTCGGGGTGGGGGCCCGGAGGCGGCGAGGGGTGCCTCGTCTTCGGGTGGGGTTGTTGTCAAGGGAACCCGAAGCGGCAGCGGCGACTAAGTACTGCGTGGGGGTGATGGCAGAGGTGTGGAGAAGAGGTGAGGGCACCGAGTACGCTGCAATTGTAAGGGATAAAGCGGTGGTTTTTATTTTGTGAACTTGTGTTGCTTCCACAAACCTTCAGAGGCGCTGCCATCTTCAGCCCCCGTCCGTACCCCTTGTTCATTAGGCCTAGATTGAAGGCCCTGAGATCAAATCAGAAGTTGAAAATAAACACCTGAAAACAATAGTGCACGTGAACGACCCTCTTCCTACCTAAGAGCCTACCTTAGGTAAACCAGGGGTTATTTTCCTAACTCCTAATGCGTCACCGGCTCTCTGGGCTGTACAAGGATACCATTTCCCTCAGGAACTTCTTTCCTTCTTGGCGTTGACCTGATCAACCCCAGCTTCAGAAGGGCTTGGCACAGAAGCGGACAAAGGCAGGCAACTAAGAAGTTCATTATCTGCCCTTACATTAATGCAACAGCTACACACATTCTCTTTAAAAGTATTCGGGTTGTCTTAATAGGCTCAACTGCTTACACGTGTGATTTGTTTCCAACTCTAGGTTGAAGTTGGTTCTTAATTTCCTCGGGAAAGGTGAAATAGTAACTTTAATTTGGGATCACACAAGTGTTAACTCCTGGCTTATTGAGTTACCATTTTTTGTTTTGAATCCTGGAGGAGGAAAATACCCCTGATTAGTAGCCTGATAATTTTATGGAGGAAATGTGCCTGGTTATTGCTTGTTGGTCTCTTTACATTCCTATGAATTTCATGTCATTTAAGAAAACTTTACAGTTAGCCTGGAACTTTCAGGGTTTCATAGGTAAGGCTTAGAGTTTAAGAAGAAACCGCCTCCCACAGTTGTAGTATTTAGCATTCATTATTTTGTTTATTGGAAAATAATTCTTCGTAAATCATAGGCATTCTAAAGAGTCACTTCATAATTTGCCATGCGGGTGTTAATTTTAAAATATTTAGAGATAATATTAAGAGCCTATTAACTTTTTCTAATTTAGGTAATTCTTTGATAGTGTTTACTTGTTATCTGGCAGTTTAGCTATTTTTCTTTGGAGTCATTGTATTTCGTGGCTCATTTTATATAGCTGCTTTTCTTATTAGGGGAAGACGTTGTAGTACTGGCCGTGGTATTCTTTTGTGACATCTTATGTTGCCATGACATTTTCTCTTCTGCCATGCAAAAGTCACTTCTGTAAAGCTAAACCCAAAAGTAGCTTTTAAGTATGCATTCAGTAAAGCGTGAAACTAGAAACTTTTTTGTTCTTTATAAGTGGATTCACTCAAAGGACAATGGTTAATTAAGTTCATAAAACGGACGGGTAATTTACACCTAAAGATGATGTGGTTGTATACATGTCTTCCACGTTTCTGATAATCTTTACATTTTCCACTTAAGTTCAGCTCCCCAACCTCTTCTCAGAGTGAAGTTTTACATCCATGGCATCTTCTGTTTTCTTGGTACGTTGGACTTCTATGCAAACGTAGCTTTTGAAAAAATATCATTTTTGGTCCTTGTTATTTAAGTTCCTTGATTCATCTGTGTTATCTTTCTTTTCAAGTCTATTTTTTATTTCTAGATATTGAAACACTTCCGTATCTGAAAACTTCATATTTTCAAAAGCAGCCATCCTAACCTAACCGCTTCAAAAATGTACTTGATTTCCATTGCTTTTTCTGCACTAGGCCATTTTCCTTCACTTTTTTTTATTAGGAACATGTTTTCCAAAACCTTCATTTGAACAGCATTATGAAAATTTCTGATAGTCTCCTTAGATAATGTAACCAGTTTTTTGGCTTGATTTTAGTAGTTGTTGAATTATTTGCTGCAGTCATTGCATTTTTTTTTTTTTTTGAGGTTTCTTTTATTATAGTGGTAGTGACAGGCTCAAGTGAGTTATTTTATGACGTTTGAAGTTTTGTGCCTCAAGGAATTTGTAATAACTGGAAATGCATATAATCCAAAAGAATACAGTTTACTAATTACATGAACATTTCTGAGAATCCACTTTTGAGTCATTTTATTTTGGAAATAAAATTTAACTTAAAATAATAGAACTGAAATTTCAAATCTGGGAAGGGAACATCTTAAAATGTATTTAGTTAGATCTTGTTCTGTAACTGAAAAACAAAGCCCAGAGACAAACTTGCTCCTTGTACTACTTGCAGGTGGAGGTGGTGCACAGTTGGCATTAGTGCTCCTAGGTCTGGTCCGTGCTGATGGCAATACATGAGCTGCTTTTTGTATTTAGAACTTGGATCCAAAAGGATATTTAAAAGTTTTGACTCAAGAGATGTATTAACTCAGAAGCACTTGTAATTGACCTGACTTTGTGCCTAGTTGTTTGTGAGACCATGGAAAGTTATTGGCCTTTCAATGCCTCAGTTTACTATTCTGTAAAATAGGGTAATTATACCTTCTCCTTAAAACTGTTAATAGGATTAGGTGAATATGCATTTAACATGACACAACATCATGGCATGGCGACTTTAATTAGATAATAATGAGAGATATTAAACATAATTTAAAAACTGTAGTTGCTAAGCGTACTAATTTGGTGACATTCATGTTTTTTTTGAATCTTCTGGAGTGTTAGTAGTAGCTGCTTGGTAGGTCATGGTTGAGGAATCTAGGCCAAAAATAATTAAGTGGTTTGCCTTAGGTCACCCTGCCTGAGCAGACCCAGGTTTTCTGAATTGTAGTGCTTTGTCACTACCTATACTTTCTCCCTAATTAAAGAACTCTATTAGAATTGAGACATTGTCCATTTTGTTTTGGCCTCAAAAATTAATTCTGCATTACTTATGTAATCTTTTAAAAAGTGGCCTACAATTCAACATTCTCTTTTATGTTCTTTCAATTTACAGTAATTTAGGTAGTATCTTAAGAGTTCAGTTGAAGTTGAAAGTTGAAAACTAAATTAAAATGTGACCCTTTATTCAAGGATGTTACCCACTTTGTTCTTATTTGTAAGTTGATATTGCACATCTCTTCTCCACCTAAAATTTAAGTCTGTAATTTGTATAGCTCTACGGAAGAATTTTAAGACTTTCTTCTGCGATAGTTAATTGTGCAGACTGTAATGTGGAACATAGTGTAGTGGTTCATGGTCCTTGGTATTTTGCCTTCATTTAAACTGCATGAGTTTCCATTTTCTTTTCCTCAGGTTGATAGTTGGGAAAAGGGTGTATTGAGCTGATGATTATATTTCATTAAATGAAGATGCTTGATTATTTTATAATTTATCATCTCAGTGATGAAAATATCTTCCAAAGTGTAATGGCTTGAACAGTTATTTGCCCACTGTTCTTTGATTTGAGTGAACATAGGTGGACTTGTTTTGTTTGCTTCTCTTGAATGTTACTGCTTAGAGTCACTCATGTGGCTTCAAATCATCTGATAGCTTGATTGGCACTGGATAGTTTAAAATGACCTGACTGAAGCATATGATATTACTTGGAGCCTTCAGTGGGGGCAGCAGTTGATTTACATGGTCTTCACTAATAGTCATCTGGTTTTTACATAATGGCAGGGTAGAGCTAAAGCTGTAAAACTTCTAGCCATTTTGCTTCTGCAATTCTGTTGGTTAAAACAAACCACAAAGCCAGGTCAGATTAAAAAAAAAAATGGGGAGGATTCATTTTCACTTCTTGATAGGAGAATTTGTATCTCTCTTGATACACCCAATATAAAATGGTGAGGGTAAAGGTACAAGATAACCTCAATATATTCTTCAGTTCAAATAGGGGAGAGGAGTGAGGGAATGTAGCAGTAGATGGTTAGCAACTGAGCCAAGCCTGTGTTGTCAGAGTCCCCTATTTTGGGGACATTGGGTTTTCCTTGATTAGGTCCAGTGTTACAACCTAGAACTCTTTACTTAATCTACTTAGTTTTTTTGCATTTGGTTCTACTTTCTGAGTCCTTTTTTTTTCTTTTTCCTGTGATGATACCTGCTTTTAGCAAAGTAGCATTTTCCGCCTGCTTTTTACCCATGGAAAGTTGGAAGCCCAGATGCCTCTTTTTAGCCGAGGCTGGTAAAACTCTTAACTTCATATAATTTTGTCAAGAATCACATTATCCCTTAAGTACACACATTCAATTCTTTTGGAAACAATTTTCTTTATTTGGAGTAGGATGCTATGAATTAGCACTCTAAATATATTTAGAAAACCTGTTCTCTGGATTGAGTATCTCCTATGACCAGTAAAATCTTTCAGGCAGACTGCTAGTGAGGGCAGGGTAATTCATATAAATATTACATAAAAAACTAGTATTTAAACAGTTTTAGTTTCATGCTTTTAATGACCATAATTGACATATTATAAAAAATATAAAGGTTAATTGTTTTTTTGCTGATAGTGTTTCGACTAATGTTTAGTAGCACTGAATACAGATCCAGTAAATTTACTGTAGGTTGTTAATATATCACTGTGTGATATAGCTCCTGGAAATTTTTTTTTTTTGCTAATCACACACACAGGGTTAATAAGATTAGTGATCAGTTCCTAAAAGTGAATCTATAATATTTTGTTGTCTGTTCCAGAGATACTGACTTCAGTCCCAGT